TTCGGAGGGGCTTGGAGTCCGTCGAGGGGTAAGAGGGGGTGTTTTGTTTCGGAACAGGGAGCCTAAGGTGAAGGGATTTATCGACCGACACTCCTCTAAGACCCTTTCAGGATCGTTTCAGGAATGGAGCAAACGTGCTGAGCTTACGGGCTGTAGAAGGAGAGCCCATATCTGCTTCGAGGCCGTGGGGAGATTTTCTTTTCTTTGGAATAAGCCACGAGCATTTGTCGGGCTTGAAAACTGTCGTATCCATATGTTTATAGATTACCTTCGCCATTTTCTGAGTGGCTAAAGAGCTCGGGGAATGTCCCTGGAATATAACCCTTTTCGAAGCAGTTGCGTCTGCCTGTAACATTCTTGCTGTATCTACTATTTGCTGCTCGGAGACTTTGATCGCTTGGTCTGCCACCAAGTGAACTGGGGAGTTTAACATGAGGACGTTGAGTTTGGCGACCTGGTCACCGAGAGCGTTGATTTCAGCCTTCAGCCTCCTTAGTTCTAAGGCCTGTTCCTGAATGATACCTAGCATTTTGGCCTGTGAAAGAGTTTTATCCATGACCAACACAGGTTCATCTAACCTCATCGGGAGGGTGTCCTCGTCGGAGGATCCGAGAGAGGTTTTGTCAGCCATTGAATGGTTGAACGGTATGATAAAAGATTTTTTGCGGGTTGGAGGGAAATAATTGGAGCCGAGTAAGTATAGAACTTGTGAGAATACAAAAACCGATAGCGAGGTTAAATTTTGAACGTACCGCGTCTCAAGGTAAAGAAGATCGATGAATTCTCGGGAAACACTAAGAGTGCAGTCGAAGTCTAAAGCAGCCAGCGCAGTTTTCAAGTTGACTTTTATTGTGTTCGAAACGCCCAAAAGGACCAACAGAAGTGCCTCATGCCAATCAGAGCCGGAATGAGCTTCGAGGGGTGATTCAGGCTGTTGATGAAAACGCCCTACAAGTTTAATAACCACAGGCCTATTTACCTTTGTGTTCGCTTGAGTGACACATAAGATATAAAGATATCAGTGCACCCTCAAAATAATAACCTCTTACTGTCTTGACAGTAACGAGGCATCCGTAGATAGCGACCCATTACTCGGGAAAGGTCTTAGCTGTTGTTTCGATTGAGCAGTTTGGCAGTGAATTGAACTTTTACTAACGATAAAAATGAACGGTGCACCTCAAGCGGTATGCAAACCTTCCGATGTCGGCAGAGGGTCAACCAAGTTAACGTGCACATGTCGCTAACGTACAGTTCGCATGTCCGAATAACCCTAACGGCGTTCAGGTGTGTTGATGCACCATACAAATTTGACACTGCGTACAAGTGCAAGCCCAATCTGCTACATCACGATTCATTGGTGATCATGGAAAAAGCCGAGAGTCCAGCTTAACTGAGGTCCAAATACTGGGGTTTGACAAGCTGTGGATGGTAGCGGAAACCTGCCTTTGTAAGCATGAGGCATTGTTGCTTAAGGTGTGTCAGTAGAAACTTCATGCCGTATGCTGCCGTTAGAACTGGGAAACAGAACTAACTGCAGTTTGTGAGAGCTCTTGATTTTAATCAGCTCCAGTTTTTGGTTGGACGATTTTGTTTCAACGATTTGGAAGAGATTGGTCTTATCGGGTTGTGCGATGAGGTGCATGCGTGAGGGATCGTCAGAGAGAAGGGGTCATGCGCACCTGAAATGTGTCTTGTATCCTAAATGAATATGAGTGTTACAACCCAAATAGCGAGACTCTCTGGGAGAGTATCTTTCCGAAGTATATTGAAGCACGAAGATGACCGGTTTGTGACTGATAAATACTGTGAAATAACCGTCTCCAAACATGTGTCTAAAGTGTTTTATCGTGACGTAAACTGCAAGCAGCGTTCAACCAAAGATACTTCAGAGATACTTGGCCGTTTGCAACCGTTTCGAAAACAAGTCAGGTCAGTAGTAGCTTTATGCACCCGAATGGGTGAACTTTTAGCATTTACACCATTTCTGTTGGTTCAAATTTACAAAATCATACAAAACAAAACTGAAAGTAGTAGATTATGTTTGTCAATGAAAGAAACACTTGCGCAGTTCTGTGGAAAGTTTCTCCTTGTTAATAAGTAGACATGCTAGATATTGCAAAACAGAATTACGATAAGAGGAGGTACATGGAAATAGATATAGCTTTTGAAAATTCGTTGTGTAGTGGGTGGTGAGCGCCTGAGAGCATTTTGGTGTTGAAATTCGTATATGCTTCTAGGTGTATGTCAATGATAGAATCAGCGAATTTATCCACGGAAATGCCACTATATTTAGAGATGTATTTCAGAGATCCCGCCAGTAAATGGAATTCTTTCTTCAACATACCGGAAAAGATCACTGGGGGTGATACAACCAGTGGGGTAGCATGCATGCACTCACTAACCTAACAATCAGGTTATGGGGAAGAGATAGTATTCTCAATCGGATTGAACAATATGAAAGCTTTCTAACGTTACAGAATGTGTTTTGAACATACAGTGACCATAATAAATTGTGTGATAAAGTGACCCCAAGATAATGAACTATTGTTGATTTCGGTACGCGTTGTTGAAAGGCAGATGGTGAGGAATCTATCTGTGAGGGCTGAATATGGTACATCGACCAAGAGGGAAAACACAACTGCCTGACATTTAGAAACTTTCAATGAGAGAGAACGGGACAAGGGCCAAGTAGTAAAATCGTTTAGCTTGCTTTGTATTTGTGAATCGTCTCTGGACGCGCTCTAGAGCCTTTTGGTTGCTTACGAGGTTCGGCGCCCATGCCTGTACGCAGTACTCGAGGTGTGGGCGCACCAAGGCCTTGTAGAGGGGCAGTAAGACTGCAGGGTCCCTTGATGCTACTGTTCTTCTCAGCAAGAGCAGTGCCTTAGAAGTCTTTGCTGAGGCTAGCTGGCACTGTCTGGTCGGCTGGAAGGAACCATGCATGACGATACCTAGGTCTCTGACCTCGTCAGTTGTTTCCACCGGTGTGGGTCCCGTGCCATTGATCAACCTAGCCCCTTCGATGGATCCCCCTAAGAGAAGCCGTTTACACTTGCTAAAATTTAGTGGCAACAGCCACTCCTCCGTTCACTTCTGGACTTCATCTAGATCATCTTGAATGGCGTTGGTGGAGGGGTCACCAATCATTCTTACGTCATCGGCAAACAGGAAGGACGGTTGTAATATCCTCTTAGTCAGGTCATCAATGTAGATCAGGAATAGTAGAGGTCCCAGAACGGACCCTTGGGCACACCACTACAGGCTGCCCCTCTAGTGGACATTTCGCCCTCTACCCCGACATAGAAGGATCGGCCAAGTAGGTACCCCGTAATCCATCTGACAACTTGTTCAGACAGACGGAAGGTCTTTAGTTTTTCGATCAACAGTCGGTGGTTGACTGAGTCGTATGCCTTTTGGAAGTCTAAGTAACAGTCTTCTGTACGCTCCCCCCGATCAAGCCTTTGGGTGACCTCGTCCATGAAGTCCATCAAGTTTGAAAGGCAGGACTTCTGCACAAAACCGTGCTGGTTAGGAGATATAAAACCTTGGCTTATAACGTGCTCTGCTATGCGATCCCTGAGGATTCTTTCCATAATCTTCAGTGGAATAGGCAGCAGACTGACCGGCCTATAGTTTCCCACCAAGTCCCTGGCCCTCCCTTGTGGATAGGCACTACTGCTACTTTCCAATCTGCTGGAAGTTGGCCGTGACAGAGGGATAGGTTAAACAGGCGGGCCAGTGGATTGTCAAGGACTTTTACCAGGCTTTCAGTGTGGCTGGGTGGATACCATCTGATCCTGCCGATTTGCTTGTATTTAGGTGATCCTAAATCGCCTGGGGAGGATTTCGCAGTCTGGCATTTGTGGGATGGGCGTCGACGTTTGTTGACCCCCGGGTGCTCCGATTTCCCTAACGTGAACTGCTTCAAAGAAGCGTCTGAAGAGCTCTGCTTTCTCAGAGCTGTCTGGGCTTGGGTGGCTGCTCTCATCCTTAAGAGCACCTATAGCCGTACACAGCTTGGAGTTAGCTTGTACGTAGCTGAAGAATACCGTGGGGCAATCTTTAATCCTCCGCGCCAGTCTCGTTTCGAAGGCCCTAGGGCAAGCCGTCTGGGCACTGATCGCCCTGTTTTTCTCCCTGAGATACTGGAGATACCTTTGGTGGCTACGGATCTTGAGGTACTGGCTTCAACCTTCATGCTTTCGGGATTGTACCTTCGCTACCCTGCTGGACCACCAGGGGAGTTTGCCGTTTCCGCGGATCCTCCTTAGCGGAGCAAACTCCGAAGTGAGCAGTAATAAGTTGGACTTGATGGTGGTCCAAAGCCCTTCTATAGTGTTGAGCTGCTTCCTCCAGTGTAGCTCAGAGGCTCTTTCAATGAGGGAGTTACTGTTTATTCTGTGGAAGACTGTCCTCCATTTCATGTAAGGATTTGGGCCGTATTCCTGTAAACAGAAACGCAACACTACCTGGTCACTCCTACCCAGTGGTGGGGAGGTTCCCAATTCGGTCACATCATTGGGATATTTACTCAGGACTAGATCCAATAACCCAGGATTTTGCCCGCTGCGATAACGCATGGGGTTGTTGATGTGTTGGGCTAGGGCGCAGTCAAGGGTAACGTTTACTAGTAAGTGACTAAAACTGTTTGATGGTGGCCAAGTGAAATTCCAATCAACTTCCGGGGCATTAAAGTCTCCTAGAATCAACACGCTGGCTGACCCGTGGCTAAGCTATCTGAGGTATAATAGTAGTTGCTCATCTTCCCCCTGGGATGCTGAAAGACTGCGATAAACACAGCCTACCGCTGGTTGCTTTGTGGGGAGGTGTACCGCACAGGCCGCTACCTGGATGTTAGGTGTGTTTAAGGGAGCGACTGTTTCAGTTTGGAGCTGTTTGCTGGTCATGAGCAGTGCTCCTACCCTTATGCGATTGTCTTCCCTATCGGTTCTGAAGACAGTGAAACTTATTGGTTTTAACGACTCGATGTTTTCATTCGGTCAAAACCAGGTTTCAGTTATCGCCATCGGAGTGGATACACTCCGAGGTTGATTCACCCCATTTGTTCCCCAGGCTGCAGGCATTTGTGCTGAAAACTCGCAGGCCTGACCTGTGACTAGTGATGGGAATTTGGGGGTAGCACTCGGGCTCTAGTCCCGAGTTCGCCCTGCGCTTTTCGCAACGGAGGGTTTACGGGGTATGTCAGGCGTTTCCAGCCTGGGCTTGCGTTTTAGGTTGGGCGGCTGCGGGTTGGCTGGGGTGTGTAACCCGGGCCGGATAGTAGGAGGTACAACCGCAGTGGTTGTTTCCTTTGTCACATTTGCTACCAACTTAGGTAGTTGCAGAGAAGGTAACTTCATGGATGTTACATTCGGAAGCAGTTTCTCTAATCGACCCTTTTGAGTATTGTCTGGTTCTACGGATATTGCCCCTTTNTGGGCAGAGGCTGGGAGGAAGGAATCACGGTGCCGTGGGTTGCTGAACTCGACAAGCACAGGTCTCCTCTTATTTTCTTTTGGAGACCATTTTCTTAGCCTTAGCACCCTTTTTATGTTTGCGTGAGGAGGAGTGTCTGATAGTCTGAGGAGGGAGGTGACATGGCACCTTATTAGCACTTCCCTCTGCTTTACA